TCAAGAAAAATACCCCTGTTTTAGAATTTCCCACCATGCACCTTTGGTAGTCTCCCTCATTTTCAAAGGGAAAACTCTTTTTACCCACAAGAAAAAGAAAATTTACAAGGCCATAGGAAAAACAAAGGCAGAATAATTTTTAATTTCTTGAAAATTTTTAGGTAATGTACCTGTCGAGTTATATTTATCCCACTGCCCTTTGGTGGCATTTTCCAGTGGCATCAGATAAGATCCAAAATTGCTTCTATAGTCACCAGCAGAGATAAGAAACTGAGGACATCATTAATTTAAAAACAGAGTAATCTATTGAACGCAAACACTCCTTGATTAAAATATTGGGATTTCTCCCCCCTTCTCAAGCCTATTTATTGCTTTAAATGAATCCACATTCCATTTTTTTTATCTATTCCCCTATCCTCCAAAAAGCCATCTGCTATTTCCTTTATGAAAAAAATAAAACCTACAATTAGTGTCTTGTTCATCTTTTCTTTCTAAAAAAACAAAAAGCAAAGAAAAAGGAGAGAGAGAACAATTATGCAAATTCTCTGCAATTTAGTTTCAAATACTCTTTGTAGTGTGATGAGCAATTTTCCTTAATACAAACCCAGCTTTTTTGCCAAGACTTACTAATAGATTTTTTTAAAAGAGAACTTTCAATTTTCACATGAAAAGTCATCTAATGTAAACTTTTTAAATGTACATAGAGAATGGCATTAACATTATTCTTTGAATTATAGAAGAAAAACAGGCATTTTATTTATTTCATCCTTTGAAAAATAATAATCTCACAGTGTTTCTTCTACCTTAGGCATTAGCAATCTTTCCACTTTAGGAAATGCCTATAATGTGTGCTGCACTAAGTCAGAGAAAGCCGTTCTCTTTGTCCTTCCCTGAAGTATATTGTCAGGGATGTAGTTTACCTATGAGCACCAATCTATTGTTTGATTCTATTTGGTCCTCAGTAACTAATGTGTAATTTGGCTCGATTCATTCCATTATGGCTAATGTGAGGTGTTTGAAGCTGTCTTGCTAAGAAGATGAATATCTACAGCGTAAAGTCCTGATGAAACTTTAGGGGAAAATCTACAATATTTTTGCATCCTCTGAAACAAAATTGCACTAGTAATCAGAAAGTATGTTGTAAATCTGATCCTGCTGCTGACAAGGCCAATCCCTTGGAAGAATAAAGCATTGAGATTCAGTTTCCTGTTTGTTTAGCTAAGAAAGTCTATTTCTTTTAACTAATCACTTGGTCAAAATTAGGATCAAACAATGGTTGCGACTTGCTTTTGTAATGATTATAAAGACTCACTTTGATTTATATGTGCCGGGGGATCTCAGAGGTTCCTGCTTTCTACATTACCTTCATATATCTGTTGGCTACATTTCGATACCTACAAGTCACACTTCTAGACTTAATTTTCTACCTAGGGGTCTGGGAACACCGTACAAAACCTAGTAATACTAACACATAGGAAAAAACAGGATCCATCAAGAGAGCAAGAAGCAGAATATAATGGGTATAAATATAACTCAGCCATCCAGCATTTCATGAATCAATTGAATATCTAATTCAATGTGTAATTAATTATGATATTTAATCTGAGTAGATATTTTTGCTCAGTTTTTGGTGTGTTATATATTTGAGACATGTATACATGTATAATCGGGTGAAAAAACCTTCAGGTTTATATTATGAATAAAACTGGTTGATACTATATAAATTAATATAATAATATTAAATTCAGCTGACCTTCATAGTTGTAAAATATTTATAACTGCATGGCTTTATTTCAAATGTTTGCTGAGCTGCACAGTAATTGGCACCAAATTGTTTCAACCTTGTAGATCCACACATGGTCACGTGAATATTTCCGTGGCTCACCAGGTTCCTGCAGGCAAAAGGGAAGGGTTAGTCGAAGGGCTTACTCCTCTTGGAAGACAGAAGTAAAACAGTGACTTCAGCTGCTGCCACAAAATGTGTATCACTAAGCAATGGTTTGGGACAGGATGATCCATGTTCCATCACTGCCTCTGCTTTTCTAGAATGTTTCTCTGCCTGTTGTCCTGATAGTCACATCACATCCACAGGCCTTTCTGATATGCCACCACAAAGGGTAAAGCAAGATCTGTAACCTCAGTGTTCCTAAGTGAGCCTTGAAACAGTTCCACTGAAATTAACTTCTCCATCCACAAGTGTCTGTTTGTGGCTGCTACCTAGGCATTCGCTGGTGGGGTGACATCACTTGTTCCTCAGTTTCCTTCTGAGAAATTTGGTTTGATGTATTTGTTCTGTCGTGCCGTCATAAACAAAAACACAGCACAACTTTATACTTTTACTTTGGGCTTTGAAGTTTTTTAGAGACATGGAAAATATTGAAGAATAATATCATAAACATTCTGTAATTTTGAATCCAAACAACTAGTGACAATTGGTCATATAGATGTGTCCTTCATGTGTGTATGTGTATGTATTACACACATACAAACAGATACATACACATATTTTCCCTCTTCTCTACCCCTATAAAACATTGAAAAGAGTGATCAAGGAATATTCTTGTACATTACAGTATACTAAAGCTGTTCTGAAATATTTAAGATGAGCATAATACTATGCAATACATGGTCTATATGTTAAACACTTGGTTATTTCAATAATATTCTATGCAGTGCATTTTTTTCTAATCTAAGAATAACACAAAGCACAAAGAGTGCCTTCAAGCTAGAACAAGATTGACAAACATAAAAATTCAGACTATGGCAGCATCAACAGTGTCTGCATAGATCCAAGCCAAATGGGGTCCCAGGGCTAAGAGGGGACAAGGACATGAACTCCCATCCCTAACCCAGAAGCTATTTCCAAGTGTCACCTGCTCACAAAAGAAAAGTTAGTTCCTTTAGTGGAATCTCGGTATGTATACAAACCACACTTAAGGGAGACCCTATGCCCAGCAGTAGATGGACAACACAAAACCAACTCAGTGGTATTTTTGGAAAAAGTTTTGTCTCCATAATTCTTTGTTTGGGCTTTATTATTTATTGCTGCTTTTGCTTTTTTTTATTTTATTTTTACTTTTTATTTTTTTTTTATTTTGAGACAGGGTTTCTCTGTATAGCTTTGACTATCCTAAAATTCTCTCTGTAGAACAGGATGGCCTCGAACTCACAGGGATCCACCTGAATCTGCCTCCTGAGTGCTGGGATTAAAAGTATGTGCCACCATTGCCTGTCTCAGATTTTGTGTTTTATAGGTTGTGGGTGTGCCTTCCTGTGTTTCTACATGTGCATGATTTTCTTGTGCTTTTTCTTTTTCTGTTTGGTTTGTTTTATTTTCTTTGTTCTTTTATGTTGGTTTTCTAAAGAATGAATGAAAGGAAATATAGAGTTGGATGGGTGGGGAAGAGGAGAGGATCTAAGAGGATACGAGGGAGGGAAAACTGTGAACAGTGTATGAAAAAAATTAATGTAAAAGAATTGTCATAAAAAATTAACCAAAGACCTAGCCTTAAACTATTTCTGTAATAAATTTTAGCTTGACCATCTCACCAATTTGTCATATCTCTTATGACATTGGTATATTTATTTATGTGTGTGTTTGTTTGTTTGTTTGTTTGTTTGAGAAAGGATTTCCCTGTGTAGCCCTGGCTGTCCTGAAACTTGAGTTGTAGACCAGGCTGGCCTCAAAATCAGGGCTCCACCTGTCTCTACCTCCTGAATGTTGAGGCATGCACCACCGCACCTGCCATATTATTGAAGTTTTTAATTATTTCAGGCATGTTTTGTTTCACTGTATCCTAAAATGTGGATAGTATTATATCTTAATTTGTTGGATTCTTTATTATTATATATTACTGGCATGAATATTCTTTTGCTGATATTATGAGGCTTTGTAAAACCACATAAAACTTTTTTTAAATGTCCACTATAATTTTCACAGAAGTAGAATATTGTTTTATTTACTTTGCTCCATAAAGTGCCATATCAAACATTAAAGCAAAAGAGTATTCTGTATAGTGATATATTTCATATTGTAGTATTGATATTTATAACTTTAAATTAGAGGCTAATTATAGGATTACTACATAATACAATAAGGCTATATTCACATCTCTTTTAATTGAATATCAATATGAAATAAATATGGACTTGGTTTTCATTTCATCAAATAAAGAGATTGACCCAGATAAAATTTTGTTTTTTCACTTAGCTCTCAAACTCTGTAGGTTTATGAGTGGGGCATCTCTTTAACTTTTTTTAAATGAAATACATTTGAGTAAATATAAAAATAATGGAGAAAAAAGTCTTTTAAAATCCTCATTCTTCTCTATTAATCAGCATTGGACATATTGATTGTAATTATTTATTTTCAGTTTTAGGATTTATATATGTCATTTACATATGCTAAAATTACATAAATAATGGGTAAGTTGTTAGGGTCACTTTATTGTTCTTGGGAAGATCTACATTTGTATGGTTGTTATTTTCTAGAGATAAGATTAAAAATTAAAAGTATCTGGTGTAGTGTTCATTTTTAACATAATTGGCAGAACATAAAATATATTGTTCATGCTATAAAAAAATAAAGTATAGGTTCTGATTTATTTGCAGGTATTCTATAATGGCATTCACCTTGTGGTATAGACCATTTATTGCTTAATTTTATTTAATTATATCAGTCTAAGCATGACATAATTTAATAAATATATTTACATTGTTAACTGAGTCTACTGAGTACTTTCTTTGAGGCTGGGTCTCACTGTATAGCCCTAGCTGGCCTGGAACTCAGTGTGTATAATAGGCTGACCTTAAACTTACAGAGCTTCACCCATCTCTGCTTTCTGAGTGCTAGAATGAAAGGCATAAGCACTCTATCTGGCTCATTGAGTACATTTTCAAATCCACTATACACCTTTCATCCAATGTAAGTATTTAAAATACTGAGGAATACTGAGTTGAAATGATCGAATTATGTTTTGTTGTTTTTGTTGTTGTTCCAGGAGGCTCTGATCATGGCAAGCATGGATCACCCACACCTGGTTCGCTTACTGGGTGTGTGTCTGAGCCCCACCATCCAGCTAGTTACCCAGCTGATGCCCCATGGCTGCCTGCTTGACTATGTCCATGAACACAAGGACAACATAGGATCACAGCTGCTGCTGAACTGGTGTGTCCAGATTGCTAAGGTCAGTGCTGTCATTTGCTGTGAAAATGATACTTGGGAGTTATCTCCTGACCTAGGAGGATCTGACGATTGAAATTATGCCGTGCCTTTTAACCTCTTCATATAAGTAAATTCTATTGCTATGTTAAATGGCATATTATTGTAAGTACTTCAACGTAGATGGTGGATTGAGCACATAATCTACTTATATATATTCTTGTGGATTATTTTTCCAACATACTCAGATTGACTAGATGCCAAAACACATGGCACACTAGTCAGGGCAATAATTGCTGTTCTAGACTTGTTTGACTTTTTAAAAACTGTAGTCAAGTTAGCAAACATCAAGAAAATAAAGCTTCAATGTCGTGATTATTCTGTCTTATTTTGGTTTCATAAACATAATCTATAGAACTATAGGCATGATGTTCTATATAAACCAAATGATAGGTTTAGTGGTAAGCACCTCCATACAACGAGCCATCTCACCTGCCGCATCACAGCTTTAAACATGGTTGCTGCTGTCGCTGTATCTGGGAAGCCCACTCTTGAGTATAGGCCAAGATTTTTCATAATCCTGAGATCATCCTCAGAGCTGCTAGGGCTTCTGCTACATGATTGTGGGGTTTTATTCCTGGTGCTCTATGAGTTTGTAATTTTATCAGCAGACATTTCCCTGCTCTTTCATGTTAGGTTATAAACCATTGGAAGGGTAATTGTAAGAGTGTCTGTCAGTGGAGGGGCTGGAGAGACTGCTCAAGAGTTCAGAGCCCTGGCTGCTCTTCCAAGGACCTGGGTTCCATTCCCAACATTCACATGGCTGCTGGTGCTTGTAACTCCAGTCCTAGGAGATCTGATACCCTCTTCTGGCCTGTGCATGTACTGCATGCACATGTTGAACAAACATGCATGCAGGCAAAATAAAAACTGATTTTTATGGACACATAAAAACTGATTAAATCTTTAAAAGAAGTGAGCCAACAATCCTCACAATTGTGTGTGTGTGTGTGTGTGTGTGTGTGTGTGTGTGTGTGTGTGTGTGTACATATATATTGCCAGTTGTCCCTGGTATCTATCAGTCACTTTTGCATAGATGCAACCAAAATGCTTGAGAAAACAACTTTAAAAGAGGAAAGGCATATTTTGATCAGCAATTTCTGAGATTATGCAGTCCTTGGCTCCACTGATTCTGCGCCAGTTATAAATCAGAGCATGAGTGGTGGTAGGAACATATGTTAGAGGAGGCTGTTCGCCTCATGATGGACAGGAAGCAGAGAGCTAGAAAGGCACTGGGGACCAGGTAGAACCTTTAATAAATTGCACTGAATGATCTACTTCCTCTGGGTAGACCCTACCTCCTTAGGTTTCAACAACTTTCAACATAGTACCACCAGCTGAAGACCAAGTATTCAGCACACAAGCCTGTAAGGGGCATTTCATAGTCAAACTAAATTAGCATCTTTCAAGGTGATTCTTAGATTGTAAATTCTTCAGAAAAGCAATAGAAATAAAAGACATTTGATTCCTTTAGTAATTAAAATTAACTCATGATATGTTTAACTGTTGTAGGTATGGTTTCCATTGCTGTGTAAAACACCATGACTAAAAGCAATTTTGGGAAGAAAGGGTTTATTTCACAACATAGCTTATTCATCCTTCACTGAGGGATGCAAAGGCCAGAACCTAGAGGCAGGCCATGGATGAGTCTAGTTTTTCAGTTGCTCCTCCTGGAATGTTCACTTTGCTTTCTTATACAACCCAGGGCCACCTATCCATGGGTGACACCACCCGCAGTGGTCTTTGCACCCCCTCCCCAATCAACCACCAATCAAGAAAATATCACACAGGCTATTCCACCAGCCAGTCTGCTAAGGACATTTTCTCAGTTGAGGTTCCCTCTTCCCAAATGACTCTCGCCAAGTGTTAAATTGACAAAAAACAAGCCAAAATGTAATCCAGGTGCTTTAGATTCTGCTTTTGATGACAGAAGATTTCAATAATATTTTTTTCTGATAATTCCAGCAGGTATGTCTTCTGGGAAAACTTGCATACGTAAGAAGTCTGCATGATTTTTAGACGAGTTTAGTAATTACACAATTGATTTTTGTTTTATTCACCATTCTTTGTTTATCTCATTACTTTTTGTGTCCATATCTTGTTCCTAATTAAAGCTAATGGAATCTGATTTTCTATGTTCCATCAAGACTGGTAGTTGAGCTTTTCTTTGTTTTTGTTTGTGAAGTGAGATGGTGGGAGGGAAAACAGGAAGAAGATATACCTCTCTTGATTTAAAAATTGACTAGAGCAGGGCAGTGGTGGCACATACCCTTAATTTTAGCATTCTGGAGGCAGAGGCAGAGGCAGAGGCAAAGGCAGAGAGGCAGACAGAACTCTATGAGTTTGAGGCCAGCCTAGTCTATAGAGTGAGTTCCAGGAAAGTCTCCAAAGCTACCCAGGGAAACCCTGTCTCAAAAAAAAGCAATGAATAAATAAATAAATAAATAAATAAATAAATGGAAGGAAAGTAGAGTTCTGGGTGAAAGAATCCATTCCTTCTCTGTACATAGATGTTGTCTTCCTAAGGATTAAATGTATAAAGTAGCAAAGACTTTATTTATTTTAATTCTTTACTCTTTTCCATTTTTCTCCAACAATAACTACATAGAGTGACAGGAGAATGTAACTTCTAATTATCTAAAAATTTGCTTTTGTATGAATGAAAATGAACTTCAAGTCTGGAGGTCTGAGACAAGTTAAATGCACACACTTCTGTTTCACATTTCTGAGATCTTTCTATTTAAGACGAGATACTATGTGCATATAAGACCACATTCATTGTATATAAACTACCAAATCAGAAAATTGTGCCTTGCTGATCCACTTATTATATTAAATGACAACTAAGGTTATTTAGAAGTTTATGAATGTCAGTTGAATGAGTGAGTTCTTTCATTGTGTTGTGACAGAGAAACTTATGTTTTATAAAGGCAGAATAAAAGACAAAAAGTTTAATCGCAATTCATATTACTGGTGTTACAACTAAGCTCTATATCATGACAGTGAAAATCCACTATTAAACGTTGAAATGAAAATTTATTTTATAGTCATTTGTGCATAAAAAGAATGGCAGCTTATTATTTATTATTTTACTGACATTATTTAAATTAGAATACATATATTCAAGTGAAGTGTCAAATCTTTTAAGAAAATCAAAAGTATGATTGTCATTCAGCAGGAGAACTTAGGCCAGGGTGCATACCTCCAGGGATGCTTCAGAATCATTACAAACTAGACTGATGCTGAAAACTGATTTTCAAAATATGCATGCCTTTAATTATGTCACAGATACTCACTGCTCAATATGTTTTTACACTGCAGTGATTTTTGGTCTCTATATATTTCTCAGATTCATATTGCTTAATTAGGGATTTGTGAGTTGACTCTTAGTGGATAATTATCTGCAGTGTTTGTCTAGTCAGGAGTGATTCATGATTTTATTAATTAAAAACTACACATTAAATATATTTTTCAGGGTTTCCCCTAAAAATAGAAATAATAGGTTAGATATTGATACTGAAAGCTTTATTAGAAATAATCTATTTGTGATATAATGGAATGATGAGAACTCTGGAAATGCAGGAGAGCCAATTCTACTGCTTTAGTCCTAGTTCAAACATCTGAGACCCATTGTGGACATGCATTCCAACCCAAACCCTGTAAGATCAAAATCACAAGAAAGTCAATGTTTTGGGTTAAATCCAAGTCTGGGTGCAGGAGAGAACCAATTCTTTAGTTCAAAAGCAATCGTGCAAAAGGAGATTGTCCCTTCTCAGAAGTCAGTCTTTTTATTTTATTCACATCTGTAACTGACTAGACCCACTGTTTCCCCCTTAAATTAGATCAGTCAAAGCGCTTTCCTCAGTCTACCCAATCAAATGTTAATCTCATCCAGAAGTGCTAATAGACACATTGGAAATCATTTTTTTTTTTTTCGAGACAGGGTTTCTCTGCGTAGCTTTGCGCCTTTCCTGGAGCTCACTTGGTAGCCCAGGCTGGCCTCGAACTCACAGAGATCCGCCTGGCTCTGCCTCCCAAGTGCTGGGATTAAAGGCGTGCGCCACCACGCCCGGCTTGGAAATCATTTTTTAACCAAATGTCTGAGCACTTCCCAGCTCAGTTATATTGACATATACAGTTTGCTATCATGCAGAAATATGATGGAACATTTCTTCTAGTTCACCAAGGAAGGTTGACACAACAGAAAACAAAAAACTATTGTTTCAAGCATTGAAAAATGAGAGATAACTGGGCTGGAGAGATGGCTCAGAGGTTAAGAGCACCGACTGCACTTCCAGAGGTCCAGAGTTCAATTCCCAGCAACCACATGGTGGCTCACAACCATCTGTAATCAGATCTGGCGCCCTCTTCTGTATACATGATAAATAAATAAATATTTTAAAAAAAATGAGAGATAACCCCTCCCAGTAGTTATCATGACAGAATTTAGAAGGAAGTACCTTTTATTCTCTCTAATTTACTGCCCCCATCATCTCCAATAACTTAGACAAACTCTACATGGCTTTAATCTGTTTCCTCTATAGTTGAATGGACAAAATTTTAATGCTATTATGGTGGCTAAAAATGTGATATATCAGATATTCATGCTAAGAGAGTTTCCATGCTTAATATATGTTACTATAATATAAAGTAAAACAATGCTATTTAAAATGTAACATCATCAAAACTAACTTAATAATGACCCCTACAGGAATGCAGCACAATGTAGTAGAAACATTATCCAGATAAAATAAAAATCTGGGTATGGATCCAAAGTCATTCATGAATCCTTCAGCAACCATTTCTCCCTCTTCCCTTCACTCTTGTTATGACACTCTTGCTCAGTTCACAGACAGCCATTACTCCCCCCACATGTGGCATGGTCCTAGAAAATTCACAGTTACCTAAGGGACTTGTGAGGGAGGGGGAGAAAGAAGACAAGGAGAGGAAAAGAGGGGAGTGGAA